CGAACGCCGTTGGGTTCGGACCCCGAACGCCCGTACATATGGAGGTCTGCCTGGGGACCTCCGTACGTACGGGCTGGTGACCCTGTATTATATATATATCGTCACAAACAGAACTGCCCGGTAAAACCGTAGGCAGAGAGAGAGAAGAGGACAACAAAAGAGGGGCTGTGACAAACTGTTTCGTCGGAGTATATATATATATATATATATATATATATATCGTCACAAACAGAACTGCCCGGTAAATCGTAGGCAGGGAGAGAGAAGAGGACAACAAACGAGGGGCTGTGACAAACTGTTTCGTCGGAGTACCGGTGTTCGGGACGGGCCGAACGCCCGAACGCTCGAACGTACAGGACCCCTTCGGGAGTCGTTCGGCCGTTCGGGCCGAACGCGGACCAAAAAAAAAAAACAAAAAAAAAAACAAAGTTTTCAAAAACTTTCGAAAAAAAACTATGTTATGGAGACAAATAAACTAAACAACATTTGCCTGAGCACTGCATCCAAATTCTTTGCCAAATTTGAATTAAAAATCCAATACAGAAAATAAACACTATGATAAAATTTCATAAAAATAAGGAAAAATAAAAAGAGAATTCAAATGAGTGAGTGTGCCAGCACCTTTTCGACACCGCCATCTTTGCCGATTTTTAATTATTTTTTGGCATTGACAAATGCCGTAAAAATTTACAGATATGTTGTTTACATAATCAATAACTCATTAAAAAGTTTTCAAAAAATAATAAAAATTTTTAGGCCCCGAAATAAACTGAAAACAAAAAGTTAAAACTTACAGTGAAAAAAAACAAAATAGCGAGTGGGCGAGCACGTTTTGACACGCCCATCTTTGACGATTTTTTATGTTTTGTTTGCTTATCAGAATGGCTTCAAAATTTATAGGCGTGTAGGTTACATCATACAGAACTCACGAAAAAAAAGTCACAAAAAAAAACTTATGTTTAGGCCCCGAAATATTTTTTGGCGGGGGCCGAACCTAAAGGTGTTCGGCCCCCGAACGAGACCCCGAACGTTCGAACGTTTGGGGGCCAGCCCGGGGGCCCGCGAACGTTCGGTCAGGTAACCCTGTATATATATATATATATATATATATATATATTGAAAAAAATAATGTGGCTTCCACCTTGCATTAGGTGTATGCCACCAAATTTTTGGATCATTTGGGCTAATAGAATAAATAATAAAAATCTTCAAAGATTCTAATCCCCACCTATACCCCTCCTATCCCCACCA